AAAAGAAGCATAGTTTCATAATTTTAATACGTACTTTGTTGATCCTGATTCCCATTGAACCAATATTATTCGACACAAGGAACACAAAATATTCGGAGTCCAAGGTTTATCAATATTTTTAGGCTCAATACCAAAATATTTCGAATATATAGATTGGATCGAATATCTAAACTGCCTCCGATGCCGTACAAGAGTATATTCACCGCATATGTAACAGAACATCTCCGAATCGTTGGTACACTCAAATTCTCGCGTACGTTTACTCATTTTATTTTAAAAATAGCTCATGGTTTCTTATATTGTAAATATAAACTGGAACCGGCGAGCCTTACAGATATAATGAACTTTCAAGGGGCATTTATCCTTATATATAGCTTGATCGCGAAAAAATTAAAAAAACCTACCTATACAAAAAAGTTCCTTCATATTGACGAGCCGGGGAAAAAAATACTACCTGCTGTTGATGTTGGCTTTAAAAAAATTAATGAATTTACCAAGATGTGTATGTGTGCATGTAGGTATGCATGTTTGAATTAGATTTATTTGCATTAGGAATTTTCCGCAACTAATTACCCTTCGAAAATCTGCCTGTATACACACATGTTAAGCAAATTAACATGACTACAGGGGTTTCGAACCTGACACCTCTTGCTTTCGATGGAAACTACCTACTACAACAGTATTTGAGTATTACTGTTCTAAAAGTATTATTTGATTTATTTTTATACGAATAGCGTTATTAGTTTATTCTAATGATATTCGAAAACAATCCCACCCCTACTTTACACACTACATACGCATATACGTATACATTGACTTTGCGCGACTTGGATATATTTATTTGATCATGTACAACTTTCCTATTTATCCATGGATTTTGTTCGTTGGTAGGTTAGTTTTTTATAAAGAAACAGGACAGGAAAAAATTTAAAAACACGAAGTGATTAATCAATTTCTCAGAAATTATAAGGCCTATGGAAAAATGGAGTAGACAATATTTTTATAATTTCATTCACTTTTATTTTCTATAATTTGCTCAAGGGGGGGTGCAATAAGGCCATATGAGTTAAGATCATGATGGCATTAACTCACATCTGAATGGGAGATTAAGCCATATTATTTGGAAAAAACGATACGGCTTTATCTCGCTTTTGAATTTGAGATAAAGCCATCATGGCTTTAGCACATAATTCAATATGGCCTTATATCTCAAATGCATTTTAAAGAAAAATCATATTTGATTTTTTTTTTAACGTTTTTTATATTTTGCAATTTATGAAGATTAGTAAAGGTTTACTCTTTTACAAGATAACAAAAATGGGAAATCCTCACCCTGCTTTGACAAGAAGTGCAATTGGCAATGTACTGTTTTATTAGAAGTCACCCTGTGTTGATAAAAAGTGCATTTGACAATGACGTTATTATTTAATGCCATATTTTTATTGCCGTGCACGTGTTTTCAATTTCGCGAAATTCTTAACAAAATGGAAAATGTGAACACAGTTTTTGAGTACAACATTATAGCAGGGTTTAGAAAAAATAGTAAACTTTTGTATATTGAAAAGGAAGAACAAATCTATAAACATAAATATACAAGTAGAAATATTAAATACTATTATTGTTACAATAAGAACTGTAAAGTTGGCGTTGCAGTTGATTTCAACAACCTCCTGATTCATTGTCGTAAAATTAAAAACTCAAATTCAGTCCATGGTCATAAAAACACAAAATATATTGTTTGAAAAGTTGAAAATAATAAATGCGATCAAAAGTGAGGTCAAAATGCCACTTTAAAAAGAACTAGTGTTCGTTAAATATTTGACAAATTGTGCAAAAAGCATATATCATCCGCACATTTAGTGGAGTTTGGTTCAATGCGTAGAGATTTGTTTGAAATAAAACACGAAAAATATCCCAAACAACCTACCACATCATGGATATGTTTACAAATGAAGAAGTTCAAAAACAATTCGCTATGTCCAGATTTGATCCAAAAAGACAATTTACATAGACACAATTATAGAGAAAGACTTTTCATACGCTTTGTTTATTTCACCGACTATTTCTAATGCTATAACCAAAATGAGTGGCTCTGAAGGAAGCAGTTATATTATTGATGGAACTTTTAGTAGTGTACCATTTTCTAAACAGTTTAAACAATTGCTCATAATACACCTAATTCACGCAGATCACGTAAGTATATCATTATATGTATTGCAAACATTATTTATAAAATAAAAATTTCATCTCTCAGGCGTATCCGTTTATTTACATATGTGCTGATGTCATCAAAATCCGAGGCAGCATACGTACATCTACTAAAATATATACAATCCAATGTGTTGGATCTGCATCCAAAGTCAATACTTACTGATTATGAAGCCAGCATGCGTAATGCTTTCAAATGTGTATACTCAGAAGTAAAAGCGATCGGATGTTGGTTCCATTGCACAAACGTTCTTCGGCGAAAAGCATCTAAAATTTCTAATTTCATTACAAAATGAAATAGAAATAAAGGAGCCAAAGCATTATTCTCAAAATGTCTCTATTTACCGTTGCTGAAACCTAAAGATATTGAGAATGCTTATGCCATTTTAGAAAGTATGGGTGAAAATCTGTGTACAGGAAACAAGACTGAAAGCTTTTTCGGTCCTTTCATAAAATACTTCAAATGTCAGTGGATGGTAAAAGTAAGTATTTGAATTTAAACGGAAATTTATTAATAGCTACATTTTATTATTTTAGGAAAAACCGGTCAATTTTACAGTATATAACGAACTCATGAGGACTACTAACTGTGCGGAAAGTTTTCATAGCCGTTTAAACATAAAGCTTCCGAAGCGTGGTAATATTTTCAAGTTTTTGGACACACTTAGAAATAGATTCGGAGAAATGTTGTGATTTTTCAAAATCAACTTCCGGCTGCAGCTGCAAAATCAATATGTTATCGACGTGACTGTTATATAAAGCAAAATCTCGGCTTATTGAAACAAAAAAAAAAAAAAAACATTAATGGGAATTCTCACACAGTTTTAACATATGAAAAACTGTTTGGGTGCAGAAGATTTCATAAATGAGCTTCACACTTCTGACGATGATGAATCCAACAACGATGAAGCAAGTGGAGAAGGAAGCTTAAACACAACAAAGCCTCTTATGTATAATATGTTGCGAAAGGGAAAGGCAGCTTCTTTTCAACCCGTGCAAACATTACACTGTTTGTCAAGATTGTTATAATCATATGAAAAATAGAAATGATTCGTTAGGCATAAAAACATTATGTCCAATTTGCAGAGCGATTATTATAGATACTCAACCAATTTTTTGTTAACATAGATAATATAACTTTTTTGGTTTTTTTTTGTTAAAGAATTAAATTTTTTTGTTGTCTTTTTTTTCCTGTTAAAGAACTGCAAAATTGCTAATACAATAATAAAACATGGTTGAAAAAATGTAAGTGTATATATCAGGATGGTTTGGSGGTTCTGTGATTACTCTCCTTCGCGTCCCGCCGCGCGCCGGCCCGCCCCCTCCCGAATGCGAAAAGTTTTCTTAGTTTTTCTATAAAACCATTTTCAAAAGTGCAATAAAGCCTTAATAGCTTTATTTCCATTTACTTTAAAATAAAAAATATGGCATTACCTCTCATTTGCAAATAAAAAATATGGCTTTATGTCCCATCTGATCAAAAGAATATATGGTTTCATCTCACATTTAAATGGAAATTAGACCGTATGGCTTTATCCCTCATTTGGATGAGAGATAAAGCCATTATGGTCTTATCTCGCATGGCCTTATCGCACCCCCCCATTGCTCAACTGGTCAGTGAGATATACATGATTAAATGAAGACACCTTTTTTTTGGTCGAATAACGGTAAATTGCAAATATCTCAAAAACGTATCCGTAAAAAAAAATTTACTCGGTTTTCGAAATCAGCGAGCCATTTCACATACAAATTGGATAGTGGCATCCGTGGAACAAAAAACAAATTCAAATTTGTGATCCAGTGTTATTGGTTCATGTACTAGATGATTAAATAAAATTTTTCTCACTCTTTTATTTTTTTCAATATTAACACCTATATAAAAATCTATACATGCATAAGTGTACATGTATGTATATGTACATACTTATATACTACTTTATGTATATTAACATGTGTAAGATGATGTTTTGCTCTTTTAAAACGCAATTATTGCTTTTCTTCTCACGTTCTATATTGTTTTGTAAGACAAATAACACTTCTATGCTCTAAAATTGTTTTCTGCAGAGAATGCACTGATAATAAACAACAACAATAACATGAAACGATTATTTGGAATTAGAACTACTCAACCGAGTAAGCTATTTAGAAAAAATAAAATTTCAAAATAAGAAGATAAGTTGGAGGAATCAAAGAAAAAAAAAAAGAATATATTTGAAAGAAAGAATACAAATCAAAGGTGGATTGGCTAAATATTATGAGATTATTTAGTTAGGCAAAGAGCGTACAAGATGCCGTTTACTGATTGCCTCATGGGAGTAATTCATTTCAACTAAACGTATACACATTTGACCTTTGCTACATCCCCTTATAAATAGTAAGTAGCATTTTGGTTTCAATATTGCAGCAAGTCTTTAAGAGCGAACGTGATGTTAGTTATTATAGTCAACTTTTCAAAACGGTGAGGTAACTCCATTAACTATTTATAATTGGTTGTTTTCGCTTATATTGCTTTGAGAAGAAAATTATGCAGCACAGTTTCTGCCGTAATTTGTGTTCAATTAAACTAAAAACTAACAACTAAAAACAATTAATTTATTGTTTCAAATTTCAGCTAATAAATTTTTTTTTTTTGACAATAAATGTTAGGAAAACGCATAACGCTATTAGTGACTTATATCAATATTAATATAATATAGTTTAATTTAATCAAATATATACATATTCCCAATCGTCATCGATTTTGTGTTTATACTGTTTGTGTTTTCCTTTTTACATATATATTTTTTTTTTACAATAAATGTTTGAAAAGCACATAACACTGTTATTTTTAAATGGTAACTTACATATTAATTTGAATTTCATTTTCACTCTGTAAAATGACAGAATGCGGATCATATTGGCTGACTCAGTTGAATTGAAGTTGAAGCAAAATTCAGATCAACTCAACTCTTTTTAGATATTACGAATATGAAATATTTTCGTACGAAGATTATTTGGTGTTACCAACTTATAAATTGAAGATTTGTCAGATAATTAAAGTGCAAAATTTTAAACCAAAAACAACAAATATCCAATTTAGTTATTGCTCATGATAAGGTGAATAATTAAAAAAGGAACATTTTATTTATACTATATTTAGAAGACAAAAATGTTGGAGTTAAAACTGATTTCATTCGCATAAAAAGGCCTTCTTGATCACTCAAATCCATTAGAAGTCGGAGTTATGAGCTGTCTTCGGAGGTGAAAAAAGTACCCCAACTGCTGGCACGAAAAGGTTATTAAACTTAAAGATATTTCCTATGCAATCACCTACGATCTTTAAAGAATATCAACAATTAACAAAATGGCGTAATTTTGAAAAAAATAGTTTTTTTAGGTAAAAAATTGTCATTTTTTTAATGCCAAATTGACAATTTTCAACCAATCGAAAAGATCGTAGATCATTGTATAGTAAATTTATTCAAAAAGACTCAGTTTTAATTTAAGGTCAATCGGTCAATTTCTCAATAAGTTATGACGCCAGCAATTTTGAAAAATGTCCGATCGGTCGCTCTTTAGAATGACGCCATCCAAAAACTATTCAAGATACGACCTTCCCGATTTTTCAGGATATTTATCTAAATATAAGCTATAGAAACAGCAAAATAATTTTTTTTTTGTTGAAAGTGTCACACTGGTATAGCCTCTTAAATCATGTTTATTACAGATTCATAAATTATTTTCGTTTAAAAATGGAATATTTTTTCCTAAATTAGATGAAGAAACGTTACCACATCTTCTTATTTTTTTGCTGTTGGTAGTTACCAAAAATGCATTTTAAATTATTTTAACTTTCAACAGGCGTAGAATACGATATGTGGTTGTTAAGAAGAGATTAAATATAATATAATGCGCTTTTTGTAGTGAATAAAACACAGATGACTGAAGAGTAGAAAAACTTTTCAACAAAATTTCAATTTCAATCAAAAAGTATTTCATAGGAATAGTAGATCTTACAAACTCTTTATACAGTTCCTTAATATTATATTTGTTGTTTCCAAACTTTCGATATCCACTCAACGGTAAAAAAAAAACTCAAACTTAAATTTTTTACGTTCTTCAATTCTGCCCCAGTGGAGTTGGCTACACTACCAGAAATGTTTACACAAAAGTTGTATTTGAATATTATTCCTGCGTATATTTAGGAAAAATATTATCACGGAGCGGAAAACAGGTAAAAATATATATATATTTTTATATAATCCTAAAAAATCTAATATTCATCCTGTTCTAGCTTATAATTAGAACGCGAAAATATGAAACTATGCCTTTATAATTGTAAATCTAAATGAAATAAATGAAGTGATTTACCAAATTATTCGGGCCGACCTGGGGCGATTCACTTTCCTTTGTCTAATTTTATAACCAATTGTTATGAAGCCCTTAAGCACCATCTTTTTTGTGAAATTGACCGCTTCTTATAAGCTTATTTAGTAGCTTTCAACTTAACCGTTATATGAGAAATGGACGTGGTTATAATCACGTTTGTTTGGTTGATATACAAGGAGCGTTCCAAAGTACACAGGACGTTTTGAATCTAGCGCCCCCTGGTGGCACCATCTATACTGGTGCTTTAGAATCTGCTATCTTCATCGATTGTTCAATGAGAAATTCATGCCATTTCATTGATTGGAAGTAAAGTTATTGCGTTTTAAGTGTCAGTATGTTTGTGTTATTGGTGCGAAAATGAGCTTCCAACAAAGAGACAACATTAAATTTTTTTTTTTAATTGGTAAAACTTTTACCGAAACGTTTCAATTGATGAAACAAGTTTATGGCGATAATTGCCTATCCCGTAGCAGAGTGCACGAATTTAAATGAATGCATGAATTCATCAAAAATCAGCCGAAATCATCATTTAAATTCATGGAAATGGAATTGAACATCTCCAAAACATCGATTTATCGCATTTTAACCGAACATTTGGGCTTTCGAAAGGTGTGTGCACGATTTATTTTATTTTATTTATTTATTTTTTTACAACAATTTATACAATAATAAATTACAGCATAAATTAAAAAGCGACACTAGCTACTGGGCTTTCAGTCGTCCTTTTAGTTCTAAAATGTTAATTTTTAGCTCGGTAATATCGGAAAACAAAATTTTAATTACATTATATATATACGTTATGCTATACTGTTCTAAGGAGGATGCCTAA